TGTCTACTTCAACAGCGTATCGCAAGATAAGTTGTAAGTATGCTTGAACAGAAATATTCTGTTTCTGTGATACTTATCTTTGTGCATTATTACTGTATTTAGTTTCGAGTACTTCGGCAGGGTGTAATTGATAGCAATCTTTTCGTTCTAGATCGATTTCCGACTGAGTTTGATGCTTGCTGAGGGATCCACGCTTTCGACCCTGTGCCACATCTAATCTATGCTTCGTAACTCATTATTGTTTATTTCGTTTGGCTAATAGCTGTCATAAGAATAGTCAACCAAACCCTAGCCAAATACTGTTTAACAGTAATATTCCAAGAAGAAAAGTTGGTTTAGTCAGCTCTAAAATTCTCTTTCTAGGACTGCTTGAATGCTGCCAGAATTGGCCAACTAAAAATGGCCAAGCAATTTCGCTAACCATTTTCAGTATACATCAACTGTCATGTTTTTTCACGAGAATGGATCATTCATATAAAAAGACTAGTTTTAAGAAGACTGAAAAGATGAGTAATGAAAACTGTTTTATAACCTCAGTTTAAAGCATCAACCAATTGGTTAGCCAGAGAATTCCTTATTTACACAATTTACTATTGTCCTGATCCTTGATATTATCACAACATTTCGACCGTTGTACACCCTGCCCTCGGGCATTCATCAGGGATGCAGGACAACACAACACCGTCAACTGAGTACCGGGACAACTCAGGTCTGTGACAATTTAGGACCGAGAAAATTTTAATATAACTCCTTTTCAAATGCCTTATTTGAAGAAAAATATTCACTAATTAATGTTTTAATCCTTAATAAATTACTTTTATTCGGTTATAAAAAAAACTTCTTTTTCTGGTCCTGAGTTGTCTCGGTCCTGAGTTGTCTCGGCGCTCAGTCGGCGGTGTTCAGTCGGTGTTGTTGAGTCGGCGGTGTTGAGTCGGCGGTGTTGAGTTGTTCTTCCATGTTCATCAGGGTTAATCTCAAAATTGCCGTAAAACATTGTTGATTCGTTTAAGTTAGAATGATCTATTATGACATGTCTCTAATTTGTATTTAGATATATTGTATTTATTTTCAATTTTTCTAGTTGGAATGTTCACTTATATTACATATGATCCATTATTGTATATAATTAGTTTACAATAAAATTGTCTTTTATATGAATACTACCTTATGAAAATTGAGATGTAATAGAATGGGGGCGTATCATAGATTCAGGTGTGGGAACGAGACCCATGTATTGTCTTTGCGTAGGACATTTCTCTTTAGGAGCCTTAAAACTAATCTGTCTGCCGACGAATGATACTGGTTACTACGCTATGCCAGAAATACTAAAAGAGTCAGAACTTTAAAAAGATTTACCATATAATATTTGAAAATATTAATTGGTTGAAATTTTCACTGCAGTTATTCTGATATTGTTCTTACATGCCTGGCAAGTCTGACTTTGTCATTATCACAGTATTTCGGCTGCTGTACTCTCCAGCCATCTTCAGGTGTCTGTCTTTGTAGTGGTAATCTTAGAATTATAAACCGAACACTTTATTCAATCCAAAGGGTTAGGTTATTCCACTTTTTCATGCTTGGAGGATATTTCATATCAGTTAATACTCACCATTCATATTCGCCTATGAAGAGATGGATTCATACCTTTTCCCAAAGGTATTTGCGTACAAGTGATTATAACGAACGTGACTGGAAGTGGAACTCGGTTCTCCAATATCCAATTCCAAACCGTTATTCATTGCACCAACCGCACATCCAAGGTTACCATATATGGTATTCCAAGGCGGCCATCCATCTCAGGGAGACGATACGTAAATGATGATGATTCCAGTCTTTACAGATTTCACTTCTTTTATGACAACGGTTAATGAAAACAAAGAACTGTGTAAATTCAGCTTCTTTTTTTTCTTAATTGCAGCACCGAATTGGTCAGTCAGTCAGTCAGTCAGTTATGTGCCATGCGTTATACACGCTTAGGCGATCATGTATCTTTCGATACATGACTGACGAGGCAGATTTTTTTCCCGCAGTATGTTGCCATTTCTTTCTACGGTAGATCAGTTGTTATCCAAGGCTTTAGAACCCAGTCTGTCCTGCTATTTACCCAGAGCTGATAGCTGGTAGGGTAGAAGTGGATTCATACCTTTCCCAAGGGTATTAGCACGTCAGTCAGTTATGTGCCATGCGTGATACACGCTTAGGCGATCATGTATCTTCCGATACATGACTGATGAGGCAGATTTTTTCCCGCAGTAGGTTGACATAACTTACTGTGGTAAACCAGTTGCCATCCAAGTCTATAGAACCCGGTCTCCCCTGCCATTTACTCATAGCTGGGGAGAGAAGAAGATTCATGCCTTTCCCAAGGGTATTAGCGCGTAATTCAATATCAGTTCAGTTATGTGCCATGCGTGATACACGCTTAAGCGATCATGTATCTTTCGATACATAATTGACGGGGCAGATTTTTTTTTCCCGCAGTAGGTTGCCATATATTTCTGCGGTAGACCAGTCGCCATCCAAGGTTATAGAACCCGTTCTGTTCTGCTATTTCCCCATAGTTGGGGGGAGAAGAAGAGGATTTATACCTTTCCCAAGGGTATTAGAGCGTGGTTGAATAGCAGTTCAGTTATGTGCCGTGCGTGATAATCGCTTAGGCGATCATGTATCTTTCGATACATGAGTGACGAGGCAGATTTTCTTTCCCGCGGTAGGTTGCCATATCTTTCTGCTGTAGACCAGTTGCCATCCAAGGCTATAGAACCCGGTCCTCCCTGCTATTTACCCATAGCTGGGGGCAGGGGTGACAGATTCATGCCTTTTCCCAAGTGTACCTGGAATTCATTACATTCCTCAAGCCGAGCTGCTATCCATTATTCCAAATTGGTCACGCTTAAAAAAACAAAAAAAAAAATTCATTATCTATTCTTTCACCGTGCCTCCTCATTACACCGAAACATCACGCTTAAAAAAGAGAGAAATAAAAAAAAAGGCTATCCATTCTATGTTGACCATTATTTTCTATAGGTATGAATCCACTTCTACATAGGCGAGTATGAATGGTGAGTATTAACTGATATGAAATATCCTCCAAGCAGGAAAAAATGGAATAACCTAACCCTGTGGATTGAATAAAGTGTTCGGTTTATAATATTTTCTTGCTTTTTCATTTTGAACTACTAGGAAACCATAACGTATTTTTGAAGCATATTAAAATAATACAAATCTTATACAGATCGAAAACCGTCTGAATCCGGATAGAAAATGAATTCAGCAAATATAAAAAAAAAAAATTGAAAAGGTGTAAGGATGTGTCTTATCACCGGACCTATTCAACCTATACAGTGATGTCATTCTGGGAGAATTAGAATTCATCATTGATGAACACACTCTTAACAACATAAGATATGCTGATACCACAGTGTTGATAGAAGACACAGAAAGGAAACCATAATAAATTCTACAGATGCTAGTGAAGAAAAGCAAGAAGAAAGGACTAAAGTCCAATTGAAAGAAAACAGAATGTATGGTTATTAGCAAAAGGGACAGCCTAACATGCAAAATCAAATAAGTACAATAATTTAAATATCTGGGAAGTGTTTTAACAGAGGACGGAAAGTGTGACACTGAAATCCGAAGGGGATTCGGGGTAGAGAAAAATGACTCTAAAAGCTAAGCAAAGTATTAAGAAGTAAAGAAGACAAAGACACAAAAGGAAAGAGTACTGAAATGTTACATAATATCAGTCATCTTATATGGCAGTGAATGCTGGAAAATCTCCTTACAGATGAAGAAAAGACATGAAGCAAGGGAAATGTGATTTTACAAAAGGATGCTGAGAATACCACAGATGGTGGAACACGGTGTAGGAGAAATAACAAAAAGACAAAATTTATTAAGAAAAACAAAGGACAAGAAACTGTGGAGAGCCATTATCATCAACAACTTACAGGAACACGGCGCACAGAATAATAATAATAATAATAATAATAATAATAATAATAATAATTTCGGATTAAAAAATGAAGGACAAATATTGTTGTCGTAAAAAAATTTACCCTTCACAACCATGAATACAAAATACTTATTCTATAATTAATAATACCCTGATGATGACATTATGCTGTGTCGAAAGTACTCGGAATAAATACAAAATGAACCAACACGGTGTTTTCCTCTCGGTTTTTAATAACCGCACAAAAAATTATCTGCGAATATGAAAGGATCCTATCGAGAATAAGTAGACAGAAAATGATTTAACGAAACTTGTCTTAATATATATATATATATATATATATATATATGTGTGTGTGTGTGTGTGTGTGTGTGTGTGTGTGTGTGTGAGTGTTTGTATGTGTCAGAGAGAGAGAGAGAGAGAGAGAGAGAGAGAGAGAGTTAGGTTTTTACATTAATAATGAAAAATCATTACATTAAAAATGAAAAATAATTTATTTTACATGACAAGCATTTATTTTATATCCTGCTCTACTTTTTTGTCAATGCACTTAATTCTTAGGCGAAAGTTAATCACGTAGATCGAACACTATGCAATGAAAATATCAGATCCAAATTCACTTGATTACTGTCTATGGGCAATCATTATAAGCTACGGATTTATTTACATGAATTTTTAGATTTCTTATATTCAAAGATTTTTGCCAAAAATGCTTTCAGAATTTGTAATGCAGTCTAAGGCATGCAAATTCTTAATTTGAAAGCAATGATCGATTGATTTATTTTCTACGGTTTATCAACCATTTGCAAGTCATTTAAAGCCAGATAATATTTTTAGATTATAAGAATTATTTTTTTTAGATTACAATGATTTAATGATACTTTTTAATAATTAACCCATAGTTGGGGGAGAATAGGTGTATTTATACATTTCCCTAGGCTTCTTACGCATAACTGAATATAGCGAACCCAATTGGGATTGGAACTCGGCTCTCAGTCTAACAATTTCGCGTTGCTATCCATTAAACCGTCAGCTCACCCAAACTTCCATCACCTGGTATTCCCAAGTGGTCACTCATATAGATACTGATCAGGGCCGACGTTACTTAACTTTGGCGATCGTACGGGAATCGGATGCTTCAACGTGGCCCTGGAAGTAATGATTGTGAATATAAGATTGCTGGTTGTTGAAATATTCTTTTCTTTTCGCCATCTTCCTGATTCTCCGCTCGTATCTCCATCGTAGTGTTACGTCACTGCTTCTCTCTTTTGGCATCTGCCATTATTCTGCGCTCTTAAGAAAAATAAATTATATTCTAAACAAAAGAAATAAGTAAATACACATAGAAATGGATAAAAGAAAAACGTAATATAATTCCTGTTAATATTTGCTTATTTTTATTTTTAGTGGCATATTAGTTTTTTTGTTACCTTTAAGTGATATATTCTTTATTTGTTACTTTTTTCTCCAATGTTCACTGACCAATGTCGGTATCAATATGCTTACATCTACAGCGCGACAAAATCTGAACAATGGCGGTCTTCATGGCAGAATGCATAGAAAAAACCACTGCTTTCGAAACAGTACAAGCATGCTCGCCTCAACTATGTTAAAGCTCATAAGCTAGAAACATTATGTCAGAAGGTTTTATGGTTGGATGAAACCAAACTAAAGCATTATGGTAGGAAAAATAGCTGGTATAACAGGCGAGATCTTAATACGGCTTTTGAAGAGAAGGATTTGATAAACATTAAACATGGTGGTGACAGCATTATGTTTTGCGGATGCTTCACTGCAGCTGGAACAGGGAAAATAGTACACATTGACGGTACAATGAACACTGAAAGGTACCAAGTAATTTTGAACGAAAGCGTCTTGTCCTCAGTTCAAAAGTTGGGTTCAGGTCGCGGCTGGAAAGAATAATGGTCTAAAGCATCAAAGAGAATCCAGAAAAGGATTGATTCGTAAAAAGAAATTTCAAGTCTTAGAATAGCCAAGTCAAACTTCTTATCTAAACCCAATTGATAATCTGTGATTCAAGTGAGAGAAGGCAGTATATGCTAGAAATCCAAGTAATATCGAGCAATCGTGGAAGTTTTGCCTAGAAGAATGGTCAAATATCGTTACTCTCTACTGTCGGAAACGTCTTAAAAGGCTGGTTGGCATTTTACCTCAAAAGAAGGAGTCACCAAATACTAACTGTAAGGGTTCACTTACTTTTGCACACCTTAATTTGGAATTAATATTTTTATTCCAGCTTGATAACGATTTTTTGAAAGTGCTTGTAATTGATTTAATAAAAGTTTTTTTCTAATGAATATAAAGGATAATTAAGATTTGTTGATTATCTGGAAAAAAAAAGAGACAAGTTTTTTTTAAATATTATCTTAGGTGTTTACCTACTTTTGCGCACCACTGTCTTTCTTTTTTGTTACATTTTAGTGATATATACCATTTTTGTTACTTTTTTTAGTGAAACATTCTTTTTTGTTACTTTTTTAGTGACATATACCATTTTTGTTACTTTTTTTAGTGACACATTCCATTTTTGTTACTTTTTTAGTGACACATTCCTTTTTTGTTACTTTTTTTAGTGACATATACCATTTTTGTTACATTTTTAGTAGCACATTCCTTTTTTGTTACTTTTTTAATACAATTTCTTTTCAGGTCATTGACGATCATGACTCTCCTAAGATTTCTTTTTTTATCTGTGAATTGTGATGAATTCTTGGGAAAGATATTGGAGTTGTCTCCACGGTTTGGAAGTCAGCAGTCCTATTCCTAGATTGGTTGCTACCTTATTCTAGAGAGACCAGATTACTCTGTTATTTAACCCATATCTGGTATGGGAATAAATGATGATTCCAAAGGCAACGGAAAACCACTCCACCGTATTTTACCAAGAAGTTATAACAATTCACGCTAATTCAAGGAATCGGGGAAAAGTCATTATATCATTCGTCCTGATAAGAATATATTTAACACTAGTATTATTATTGGTAATAGCTTTAATTTAAAAAAAAAATACTATTTACTGATGTGGCAGTGATAAAAAACAATAGAAATTAAAATGAAATACTAATAATAATTAAATGAAAAGGAAGTTGTAGAGAGTCATAATCACGATTTAAAAAAAAGGCGTTAAGCTTAGAAAGCTGTAATAAACGTCTGTTTAGTTTGCTAACAGATGCTTCCATATATATGAAGATATGGATGGATTGTGCTTCACCAACATTCCAAACGATGGAGACCGTTCTTCCTTGAAAATCAGCATTTGAAATCATGTTTTCTTGGTTGTCGCCAATCGTGACCGCTATGAGATAAGCAACTACCCCAGCGACGAGTCAGATCATATTTATTAAACTTAATTTCACACGGTGCAAAGTCCCCAGTGGGAAGGAGCCAATGTGGCTTAAAACTGCTACGGAGACCAGCATGTTTCGCACAGACGTCCATCTACTCACCTCCTGTCACTTAATACAACCAATTTATAATATAATGTCTCATTAACGAGTCTTACGTAGGCGAATCTCAGGCAATTGCCTAGCATTTATTTGTTCTACACGTTATCCGAAGTACATCCCAGCTTATACTGTCAATAAACAACTGGCTTGTTCATCAGCTGTCATCTCGATTTCAGTTATTTTCCCATGGTCGTAACTTGGCTTAACCCTGTCTTTTCTATAAATGGTTGCATGGTAGTTGTCCTAGTAAGCCTTCCTCCTTGATACCTTGACCGTATGAATTTAAACGTACTACTAGATTGGCTGTTAGGTCTTCTCGTTTTACTGTTGAAATATCTAGACGAAACCGTAAATTCTATTCTAATAGTTTCTTTTCTCGTACCTCTTGCCCGTGGAACTCCCTCCTTCCGGTTTCTTGCTTACATATCACCTACGGTTCTCAAAAATTTAAATGCAACGTCAATCGCCATCTTCTTTTTCTGTTCTTTTCTTTTTATTTTTTTTTTCAGTTATTGTCCCTCTCATTAATGCCTGACAGCATCTTGTACTGATTTTTGCAATTTACCGCAACAAAAAACAAAACAAAAACATTTTAAGCAATTTCTCAGTTCCCTCGTCAAATTAATAACTTACTATTCTATTAGGTTGTGAGCTTCCAATCGAAAAACGCCAAATCAAGCAAGTACAATTATTTCGGAAGTCATAAAACAGACGACAGAAATCGTGCCACAGAAATCTGAAGACGCACTGGAATAGTGAAGATGCCTTCAAGAAAGTAAGCACAATATTAAAAAAATAGAAAATTTTCCTCAGAAACAAAGCTAATAATGCTGAATTGATATGCAGTGAATGCTGGATAATTTTCACGCAGATGAAGAGAGCTAGAGGCAACAGAGGTGTGGTTCTACAGGATGATGGTGAGAATGCCATGACTAGAACATGTGAGCAGCGAGAAAACTTTAAGGAAAATAAAAACAAAAAAGAACAATTATACATAAAATCAGAAAGAGACATTTGGAATTTCTCGAACACATAATGAGGAAAAGCGGTTTGGAGAATTTGATACTCATAAGACATAATGACGGCAATAAGGGTAGAAAATGACCTCAACTAATCTAACAAGTGTAAATGAATATATATATATATATATATATATATATATATATATATATAACACTTGTGTGTATATATATACACACACACAAACACATATATTTAAATATATATATATATATATATATATATATATATATATATATATATATATATATATGTGAAGAAATATAGCCTTAAGATGTGCTGTATTTATGGAATAAAGTACTCAATATCAGACATAGAATATATGTAAATATAAAAGTGAACATAAGATAAGTCAACACTTAGAGGCGACAGTCTGTTTCATGCTAGATGCAATCGTCAGGCCACGTCATATAACATGAAACAGACTGTCGCCTCTAAGTGTTGACTTTTATGTATATATATATATATATATATATATATATATATATATTTATATTTTTATTTTTATAGATACAAATATTTAAGTAAATACTCTATTTATAATAAGCTATATTAACAATATTTACCGGCCTGAATGTCCGAGAAATTTCATAGGAAATATGTGTCCTCCGACAGAAATCGAACCTGTATCTTACACGGAAACGTCATATAGCCCGACGTGCTATACCATTTGGCTACAGAAGAAGCATCTGGTTAGCAAGGTCGAATTACATTCAGGTCAGTAAATGTTGTTAATACTGTTTATTATAAGCGGAACATTTAAATATTTATATCTATAAAGATAACGTATAAACAATAAATATATTAAAATAATTGTCGGATTTAGTCGATTTAATAATATATATATATATATATATATATATATATATTTGTGCGTGTGTGGAATAAGCATAGGAGGAATGCAAAAATGAACTTTAAATGCAGTAAGGTAAATTTGGGTGTCGAGTTAATGAAAAAAAATATCCTTTTCGTGAATATTTAAGATTTCAATTCGTTCATAATTGTGAAACGATATAATAATTATCAATGTGTATTTCTTTATATATTTCCTGTCCTATTTGAAGACCTAAAAAGACAGAGTGAAATATTAGCGGTTACAATCAGCATTTATTTACAATTAATAAGTACTTTCAAACAAATATCTCACGTTGTTTTTATTAATGTTGCAGCAGAAAATGCTTCTGTTATATATTTTATCTGAACATTGGAATGATTGTATCCTAGATTCAACACAATTTTCCCCTCTAAATATATAAATGAATAATTATCAAGAGATAAATTTACTATTAATATTGTAGGTGTAATTACTGATATTTTAAAATATAAAGTGAAAAGACTATATTGAATCCATTGCTAGGTCAGCTGCTTGGAAAGTTAGTACACTGTGTCGTGCGAGACAATATTGCTTAAGGTTGCCTCACTGTGCCTTTTCTGTAAATACTTCCATGGTAATTGTTCGGATGAGCTCTTGACTATTTTTAATTTTTTTTTTAATTTGTTGTTTTATTCCTTCCCATCACAGACGATGAAATGGGGACTGGTTAGGATTTTCATAGAGACAATGAGGTATTATGGTGGATGTAGTTAGAAAGATAAGTAAGAATGCGTTGCTTTGGGGAAAGGAATATTGTTGTATGTTTGGGTCAGTGTTTGTGGCTAGCTAA